ATGTTTTGAGAGTTAAATAAAGTTGAATTGGATTTCGAGCATATTGAAACAAATACACTTTTGGGTTTTTAAAATAAAATAATGGAATAGGATAAGATAGTAACAGTGAACCAAAGGGGCCTGGTTAGGGAGAATACCATAAACTACATTTCACTTAGTTCAAATTTATCATTCGAATCTTAACTTCCATACTTTTCGTTAAATAGACTTAAAGCTGGAAAATTGTGCACTTATACTCCTATGGATTACAAGAATAAATTACCCTATTACCCCTATTAAAATATGGTTTTAAAATTTGCATTCAACTTCCCCATCTAAAGGTGGAGTTTCAAAATTATATTTCTTTACAAAATTATTAAACACTTTCTCATAAGAATTATCTGCATGGCAATTTCAAGAACTTTAAGGATAGTTTATGATATTTTTCCGATTCAACTTCGATGGGTACAATACCTTGGTGGCATTCTAAATTTAAAGGAATAATTATTTATATTATTTCTTAGCTAATTAATAAGGGGCAGAACGACTTACACATACCCAAAGTTTGCCTAATGACAATTTGGTATCCAAAAAGTTTTGAAACGACAAATAGATACCTTCCGTCATGTTCTGTTAGTGATTTTCGTTTGATAATAGTGAAAAGACTAAAATACCTTTGAAAGTTTAATATTTTAGCTTTTTATAAATTTAAAAATTTCTAAAAAACCCCCTAGGTTTGCTAATTTACTAAATACCCCAATATATAAAATTTTTATAAAATAACAAAAAACACCCCCGTCACCCGCAGTGCCAGATTCCGGCCACCACCTTCGGAATCTGGCCGAAAAATTGTGTTAGGACACAGACCCGTCAGATCTATGTCATAACGCGTCGATATGGTCTTTTCCGACCAGATCCTCCACGGATCTAGCCAGAAAATACCAGATCGACGTGTTACGACACAGATCTGACGGGTCTGTGTCGTAACGCAATTTTTCGGTAAGATTCCGGCCTCGATGGTCAGATCTGGCCGTAGATCTAGCCTTTTCCGGCTAGATCAGCCATGGATCTTGCCAAAAATGCCAGATCTACGCGTTACGACACAGATCCGACGGATCTGTGTCGTAACGCAATTCTCCGGCAAGATTCCGACGGTGGTTGTAGGAATCTGGCACTGCAGGTGACGGGGGTGTTTTTGTTATTTTATAAAAAATTTATATATTGGGGTATTTAGTCAAATTAGCAAACCTAGAGGGTTTTTTAGAAATTTTTTAAATTTATAAAAAACTAAAATATTAAACTTTCAAGAGTATTTTAGTCTTTTCACTATTATTAAACAAAAATCACTAACAGAACATGACGGAAGGTACCTTTATCATTTTAAAACCTTTTAAGTACTAACTTATCGTTTTGATAAACTTTAGGTATGCGTAAATCATTCGGCCTTAATAAGGTGGGTAAACCATTTCTTTAGTGTAATAGTTATTATTACTGTAATAAAGTTTTGATGACTATAAATAATAATATATGAAGTACTTAACGTAATCAAGCCACCTAAATTTGTTTATATTAAAAAAAATACTACTCTTCTTTCTTATCCAATCCACAGAATCTCCTTTAAGAGAGAACAAAGCAAAGGCCAAGGGATCAAAGAGTAATTTACAAGGGAATGTTTTTTTCTTTTATTTTTTTAATTTTAAAAAGTGACGTGAATTTAAATATATATAATAAAATAATTTAAAAAAGAAAAACAGGTCCCACATAATTGCTCCGGACCCACAATCTGACTGACGATATCTTCCCATATATATCCCTTCGTAACTACTTCATTTCTTGCCCGTTTTCTCTACCAGAAAAATTAAACCCCAAAATTAAAAAAAAAAAAAAAAAAAAAAAAAATTCACTCGATTAAACACAACTCTTTTGTAGCCGTAGATCGATTGAAGTTTAGAAACAACAAACCGTTTGTCTGAATACATCAATCTGTCTTTCCTGAAGTATTTGTATACAAGAGTTAAATTGCAATACAAGAGCGAAATTTTAACTCCTGTATACGAGAATACTTCAAAATCAGATTTTAGGTTTATATCTGAAAATTGAAGTTAATGTTTTTNGAGATACAAAAAAATTTGTGCCAAGAAGCTCTAAACATACTTGAGACGCTAGAAATATTTTGGCTTTAACAAGAAGATGTTCATGCTAGCGAGTAATGTACTCGTAAGTTAAAAGATATGGTATCAACTCTAAAGCATAAATCATTGTCCCAAATAACTTTAGATAAATATTTTATTTCATCTTAAACATTTAATGTAATATAGCATATTTTTTTTACAAGATACATATATATATTACTATATAGAGGCAACTTTCCTTAAGACAGAAATTAGAAAAATTATAAATTATTACAATGTGAAATTTATTCTTATTTATAACTATCCCAGATTGGGACTATAATTTTTTATGACTGCGTAGAGTTTATTTATATATAAAGTATCATTATAGAGAGGTTTTACTATATATATGGTTTTGAAATATACATTCACCTTTCCCATCTAAAGATCAAGTTTTAAAATTGACATTTCTTTAAAAAGTACTAAACACTTTCTTGTAAAAATGATCTGAATCACGATTTCAAGAATTTTAAGGATAATTTATGATATTTTTCCATTTCAGCTCTCGCTTTCGATGGGTACAATACCTTGGTGGCATTATAAATTTAAAGGAATATTTATTTATATTATTTCTTAGCTAATAAGATGGCCAAACCTTTTCTTTGGTGTAATAGTTATTATTACTCTAATAAGGGTTTGCTGACTATAAATAATAATATATGAAGTATTAACATAATCAAGCTTAGGCCTGCAATTGAACAGAACACGAACGAACACCCCGTTTGAAACTCGTTCGATAAGCATGAAGGAGAGTTTAAATTTGTGTTAAAACTCGAACGAACACAGGATGACTATTGGAGTTCGTTCGATTAACAAAACGATCAGTTCGTGATCGTTTGACTAACTCGTAAATATCTGTTTGAACAACTCGTTTGATAACTTGTAAATACATGTTCAAATAACTCGTTCGAATAAAAAATATACACCAATTTTCCAATTCACGCTCTTAAAAACAAATATACAACAATTTATAATTCATACCCATTTAATTCAATATTTGAAAATAAACTAACTTCTATCTATATTTATATTTTAAATAAATCAATAAAAACTCAATAAATTAAAATAACTAACCATCATAAATAATAAAACTTCCAAATAAATTTAACAAAACAATAAATCGTTCAAAACAAATTTGGTTCCATATCAAACATGACACAAACAAAAGGAATTTACATTTTGCATAGACATTATATCACAACCAAAAGGATTCCAACAGAAGTGAACATGTCACTATATAGTATATAGTATGAACCTACAAAAGAAAAAAAATTGAAAATCATTATTAATAATAGACTGATTTTAAATATGGCTACACTTAAAAAAGTAATCATATATCAATATACTGGACTCAATAGATGGGAAGATCAATCTCCAATTGCTCCTTTGTCTAAAATACACAAAGGAAAAAAAATTAAGTTAGAATAAATATCAAGCTATTAAAATAATTAAATCATTAGTGGTATGAGGGTTTATTGTAATATATGATCAATATAAATGTGTGATTAATTTAAGTTTAATTAAGCTATTATATTATCAAATTTGTCATGTTATATGTCACTTGATTATACAATAGGTTATGTTCATAAATTTGCCATATAATATTTAATTAAGCTATTATATTATTAAATTCGTCATGCTATATATCACTTAATTATACAATATGTTATGTTCATTAATTTACCATACTATATTTAACTAAACTATTATATTATTAAATTTGTTACGCTATACAATACTTGATTATACAATATGGTATGTTCATCAATTTACCATACTATATTTATTATTTATTAATTGAAATGCTATCTTATAATATTTAATTATTGATTACATTTGAAAAAATATGAAGTTATTATGTTATTGGATTTACTATATTATATGTTACTTGATTATACAATTTATTATGTTATTAAATTTGTCATACTATGAATTATAATAATTTATTACTTTTTAATTAAAATGCTATATAGTTATATAGTTAATTATTGATAACATCTGGGAAAAAAAAAAATCCAAACATATTATATATATAAGAAAAACAAAAGTATCATAATATTTTATTATTGATTACCATTGAAAAAAAATTCATCCAAACTAAACCAAACATAATATAAAAAAGAAAAAGAAAAAATATATAAAAATTATAATAATGTATACCATATTTTTCGTACATAAACGAACGAATAATCGAACAGATTGTGCGCTAACAGATGGATCAGTCGAACGTATAATGTTCGCAAACATAATCGAACGAACATCCCATGTTAGAACTCAAATCGAACATATTATCGAACGAACATCGAATTGTTTGCGAACAATTTGTTATCAAGTTGAGTTAAACAGTTATCGAATGAACATCGAGCTGTTCGCGAACAGTTTGGTTTGTTTGCAGCCCTAAATCAAGCTACCTAAATTTGTTTATATTATTATTTAAAAAAAAATAAAAAATAAAAAAAAACTCCTCTTCTTTCTTATCCAATCCACAGAATCTCCTTTAAGAGAGAACAAAGCAAAGACCAAGGGCCCAAAGTTAATTTACCAGGGGATGTTTTTAATTTAATTTTTTTAAATTTAAAAAGTAACGTGGATTTAAATATATATGATAAAATAATGTAAAAAAGAAAAACAGGTCCCGCATAGTTGCACCGTACCCACAACTGCCTGACGAGCTCATCCCATATATATTCCTTCATAACTACTTCATTTCTTGTCCGTTTTCTCTACAAGAAAAATTAAGCCGGAAAATTAAAAAAAAAAAAAAAAAAAGAAAGATGAAAAATCAAACTATCAAAATCAAATCACCTAAAACATGCTAACGTCTGAAACACGCCAATTCGATTGACATTTCACATTATCAACTCTTTGAAGATTTTGAGTTTTGAATTGAAGAAAAGAAACAAGCCATGGGCGTGCCAAAGGCAATGGACGCATTACGACAGCGGGCGGCTACTGTAAAAGAGTCGCTGCACAAGAGCCAGACCATCACCGATAACATGGTGAACATTCTCGGCTCCTTTGATTACCGGCTCTCGGCGCTTGAGACGGCTATGCGTCCGACGCAGGTTGAGTTTTTGATGGAATTGAATTAATCTGGAAAAATATTTTATTTTTTTATTTTTGATTTTTACGATTTATTTATTTATTTTTTTGTTGTTGTTGTTTCGGTAGATAAGGACGCATTCGATTAGGAGAGCGCATGAGAATATTGATAAGACGTTGAAGTCTGCTGAGGTTATTTTAGGTCAATTTGACCTCACTCGCAAGGTTTGTTTAATGCATTTTGATTTTGAAATGAATCGTTGTTAAGTGAAGATGAAATGAAATTTATAAGTTTACTTTATTAGTTGTTCTAGAAGACTATTATAATTTGAGTTTCCGATTTGAACCGTGTAGATTAAGAAAAGCTGTAGGGAAATATAATTTTTTATGTTTTGTATAAGATTTATCTCTTGTATATTTCTATACAAATTAAAGATGATCTTTTATTTGTTTATATTAAATATAGTTATAGTTTTGTTTGATAGAGATACTTAAATTCTTATTAGATGAAATTTGCCTGAAACTGAGACAAATGGGAGCTTTCTATTGTGCCCTGTCAATGGTAGCATATGTTTCACATGGGAATTTGTAAAGAGATTTCTTCAAGTGATGCTTACCAATTTGTCTTAATTATTACTACTGTTCTTAACTGAACTTTTCTCTTCCAATGCTTTACTTTCACTGGTACCATAGGCAATTTAACTAAACTTGTAACATAAATATTATGGGATCCATGGTATTGGTAAGCCTGAAGAGGGAAAAAAGAGTCTTGAAGTTGGTTTTCATCTTTATACTGAGTGTTCTACAAGGGTTAATTACATGGTCACGAGGGATCATTATTTCTTTAGTTATATTGTAGATTTTGATGAGTATTGTTTACATTGTAATTTGTAGCATTTGATTTTCAGTGCTAATCTTTTATTCGATTGAAATGTTTAGGCAGAGGCAAAAATTCTTAGGGGTCCACATGAGGACTTAGAAAGCTACCTAGAAGCAATTGATCAGTTGAGAAGCAATATTAAATTTTTCAGCAATAATCAAAGTTTTAAGAGCAGCAATGGAGTGCTTAACCAATGTAACAACTTGCTTGGAAAAGCGATCTCAAAGCTTGAAGAAGAGTTCAGACAGCTATTAAAAAATTACAGGTTGGCTTCTCATAGATAAATCTTTATTTATGTATTTATATTTTCTCCTTGAGTAGCCCTTTCTTCTTAGAATCTCATCTTCTTTGATTTTCTAGCTAAATTTTGTTTAACAAGCTTCAGTTCTTTCTGCACATGTCTGTTGTACCCCTTTACTCTGCTTCCTAGTGGTTTGTGAAATATATTCAATTTTCTCTCAGATTTAATCATATGGCATGATAATTTCGCTTAGTACTTTGTAATCCCAACTTCACTTGCAATTGGCAAACTTAAAATGTGATACTGAACTCTGTTTGCATCTTATTGGAATTGTTGGATTGCAACAGTTCTTCAAAAATGATAAGGGTATCAGTCTTTGAGAGATGGTTAAAGGCTATTCATATCTTTGTGGTCTACTACCACTAGATGGAAGAAAATTTCTTCTTTTTTGCTCTGAAGATTGCTAAACTTTATATTTGGTAAGAAAAAAATTATGTGAAGTGCTCCAATTACATGGCAATTTGGTTCCTTTGGTTATTTGTCTACGAAGTGATTCAGATCTTTACGTAGTTCCCTCCATTTATTATGCCTTTCAGTACCTCATCGAATCAGAGACAATCAATTCCTTCTATTTGTACATGTTTGTTTACCTTTTGATGAAGTTAGAACATTCCTCTATTTCAATTATGTGCTCTATGTTCGATGAATCATTTTGAATTCTTGAGAAGTTTCTAACTGTGTAAGGTTGTTTCTAGTGTGCTATGAATATAGATTTTCAAGTAAGTTGTTTCTTTTCTGAATTTCAGCCAGCCTGTGGAACCTGATCGTCTTTTTGATTGTCTTCCCAATTCTCTACGGCCATCAGACGAAAATGATGGTGGTAAGAGTCATTCTGAGCAACAGAAGAGCTTGCAAACTGCTGTTTTTAAACCTCCAACTCTTATACCACCAAGGGTTCTGCCATTGCTGCATGATTTAGCCCAACAAATGGCTCTAGCTGGCCACCAACAACAGCTATTTAGAATATACAGGTTTTTCTGTTTTTTTACCTTAATTCAGTGCTGTTGTTCATCCCAAGCTTATTTATTACAACTTTAGCTCTTGAATCTAGTTTATTTTTAATTTAGAAATTGATATATGTAGGGGGAGAATGCTTTATAAAATTAACCTCGATATGTTTGTAGTGCCCTTTTCAATTCCATGCTTCAGAAGAGTTGTTGAATGTACAATGTTCAACTTTCATATTTAATGTTTTGCATATGGACTGTTTGATGCTGGCTAAGATGATAAGCAATGACTTATTCATGATCTAACCAACACAATAAGAAGCAAACGGGTTACCAAAAAAATAAAAAAATAAGCAAACATGGTTAATCGAAGATGAATGGTTTTTTCTTTTTTCTGGTTGCATGTTAGATTTTTGTTTCTTCCATTTTATTTTAATGATTATTTATTGATTACATTACTTATAAGTATCTATAAATATATGACATTGGGGCTTGGTCTGCATCTTTTGTTTATTTCTTCCCTATCTTTTGAGTATTGAAGGCCTAGTATACTATGTTTACAGGGATATCCGTTCTTCAGTTTTGGAACAGAGCCTCAGAAAACTAGGCGTAGAGAGACTGAGTAAAGAGGATGTACAGAAAATGCCATGGGAGGTTTTGGAGGCTAAGATTGGGAATTGGATACATCACATGCGGATTGCTGTAAGGATTTATATTTGCTTCTGCTCAATCAGTTGATAATAATTCCTAATTAGATTTTAATGCTTCACAGGTAAAACTGCTCTTTGCTGGGGAAAGGAAAATCTGTGATCAAATACTTGAGGGTGTCAATACTCTCAGGGATCCAATTTTTGCTGAAGTCACTGCAAACAGTGTGTCTGTCCTTCTTAGTTTCGGAGAGGCTATTGCCAAAAGCAGGAGGTCACCTGAAAAGTTATTTGTGCTTTTAGACATGTACGAGATAATGAGAGAACTTCAGTCAGAGGTATGATAAAGTTTGTGAATTTATAAGAACTGTACCATGATTACACAATTTTTTGACATTTTGTTAGTTAATTCAGTTATGCATTAAATTTTTGGAATGAACAATACTCCACATATAAAATTTGCGACTATGGTGTAAAATTCATGGAGTCATCAAAAGAAAAAATCCTTATTAAATGAAGATGAATTATGTGACAATAAAAGAGTAATGCCACATCATGTCAATAGTAAGTATGCAGCAACAACCAGTAATATGGTGTCGAGGGTCCATCTTGGGTTCTGAAGTTTGGATTTTAATTGTCTGAACTTCATTTTTGGTAAGTTATATTTTCAATTAGTGAATACTGCTACATGCTTTACTTTGAGTACATGACCTTTCACTCTCTCTTTGGTCCTGAGTGGATGAACTAAATGAAGTCATGCCCTTGTAAATAAGAATTATTGGAGTTTTTGAGGCCCCACTCTCAGCTTTTCTCCTATGAACTAAGTGTCACTGGAGTACATTCTATGGGGCGTGAACTGGATTTATCAATAAGGTATTGATCGTAAGATGATGGCTCAATGTTAGTTTGTTTATTGGGACACAACAGAAACTGTAATTCTGGAAGGGGTTTGAGAACATGATGAGATATTTGAAGCCATAACAACATTTAACTCCATAATACACAGTGAAAATCCCAGAAAGTGATTGCTTCAGTAAATTTAATGTTGATCAATATGTATTTTGGATATACTAAAGGCAAATGGGAAGATTTTCTATTAGTACGAGTAGCCCCTCGCTTTAATCACATTGATATGGGTTGCGCGATTGGCAATAGATCATTTCTAGACAATTGTAAGTGCTTGCTAACTGTAAAATTCAGATAAAAGGACTTTTAATACTCTGTAGTTTCTAATTTGGGAAGCAGGAAGAAAGGATAATGGGGAGAAAATTGCAAAATTTGCTTCAAATACAGATAAATGGTAAGGAAAATTTGCTTCACTGAGGGCTTACTGAAAATTCTTGATAAGAGTAACAGAAAATTCTAGAAAAGTTGTGCAAAAGGACATTAAGATGTTATTTTAAAAAAAAATTTAGAACTTAAAAAGAAAGACTGGGAAATATGAGTCTCAAGGTTTAACTTTGGTTTGGAACTTTCAGGCTTCTGGTAGGTTTGTTTTGAATTTTTTATTTTTCACTGAAAACACACTTTGGAGACAGATGTCAATTTATTTACTTGACTTGTAGACTGATTTCTTTTTTTCCTTCCCGTTGGTTGGTTGGTTGGGGCAGATCCATTATCTGTTTGGGAGTAAAGCTTGCATGGAAATGCGAGAAGCTTCAATCAGCTTGACAAAGAGGCTAGCTCAGACAGCACAAGAGACATTTGGTGATTTTGAAGAAGCAGTTGAAAAAGATGCTACAAAGACTGCTGTTTTTGATGGAACCGTCCATCCTTTGACAAGCTATGTGATAAATTATGTAAAGTTTCTATTTGAGTAAGTTGTGATTGTTGTGCTTTCTACTTCTTGCTCTACTAGTTTTTTCATGAGAGGATATGGCTATTTTCTTTGATTATCTATGATTACTAATTTGCTTTGATGTATACACAAATATATATCTAATTGATGGCTCTGCTCATGAGATCGTAACTTGTATTAGTTTCTCTCAAGTTTTATCCTATCATACTTTCAAATTTAATATGTCGGTTTTAATTGCTGTCTTGTATTGCCATCCATTTATATTTTCCTTGTGCTGTAAAATTGTTTGTTTAGCAGTAATCGTGCATCATCATGCATCTGACTGTCAACAATTTTATATGTTCAGCTACCAAACAACATTGAAGCTACTGTTTGAAGAGTTTGATGAAGGTAATCCAGCAGCTAAATTGGAAGCTGTAACTACAAGGATTATAATGGCTCTCCACAATAACCTGGATGGGAAATCCAGGCAATATAAAGATCCTGCATTAACCCAATTGTTTCTTATGAACAATGTTCACTACATAGTGAGATCTGTGCGGAGGTTTTATTCTATCCAGCTATCTTATTGGAAAGGTAATTGTCCCTTGTCCACACGTGTGAGTCATTTTGATCATTTTTTATTTTCAGGTCAGAAGCAAAAGAGGTATTGGGAGATGATTGGGTGCAAATACACCGAAGGATTGTGCAGCAGCATGCAAATCAGTATAAGAGGGTTTCTTGGGCAAAGGTTATACCTTTAACCATGCATATTTTGGCATCAGAATCCCTTCTACTTATCTTGATGAGGCTTAAAGCCTTTATGAGTATCTACTCCTTGATTTCGTTGAAACATAGATCTTTTTTCATATCAACCATGTCTCTTACAACCTGAAACTACACTTCCTTTTTGTCTCTGAGTTATTAAACAAACTTATTCTTGCATCAGTTTCTATTTTTTCTTTCTTACTATCTGGAGCATCCTTGGAGTTAAGTTAGTGTTGTTCGAAAATGTTACTGAATCTGAACTGTTGGAATTGTTTGGAAATTTCAAACCTGCGTTAATACTATTGAAATATTTATACCTTGTATAAAAAATTTAGTCACCCTTTTAGACAGACTGCATATGCATTGTTCCCTTGGACATTAGCTCAGGTGATTAGACATGCGTGAGATTGGATTCGGTCTTACTTTCTACATTAGTAACTTTAGACAGCAATCTAAATATCCTGCTAGCTTACAAATCAAATTCTGGGGTTCCCTTGAAGACATTTTTATTGGTTGTTAAAGCTTTTTGTCTGTGACGGTTTGATTTGTAAGATAAATCATCATATGTGAGGATCAAAGTGCTCTTTTATTTTGTTGGGCAGGAGTTGGACAAGGGGTATTTCAATCTGGTTGTGAGCTTATACTCGGCTAAATTTAATTTGGTGTTTGGGAAAATTCATGAGAACTTAAGCACTTTTTTGTGTCTAATAAATCATCACAGTTCCTTTAAATTGGAGTTCTCTTATTTCACATTTACTAGCTTTTAGCCCTTATTATCCATGATGGGTTGTACTTCACTCTTTCATTTTGACAAAAATGTAATGTGGACAGTTGGGCTAATCTGTTTGGTTTCTGTAAATGTAGATTCTGCAGTGTCTCTCTGTTCAGGGTCCAGGTGGTTTTGGAGGTGATTCAACCAGCGTTTCGAGAGCGATGATAAAAGATAGGTTCAAGATATTCAATACTCAATTTGAGGAACTTCATCACCGGCAATCTCAGTGGACAGTTCCCGACAGTGAGTTGCGCGAATCTTTAAGGCTCGCTGTTGCAGAAGTTCTCTTGCCTGCCTACAGATCTTTCATCAGACGTTTCGGGCAAGTTCCCCGTATCTCGTTTCATTCATATATTAAACTCATAAGACCAGCATTCCTCCTTCCCTTTGTTTATGCAAAATGAGATTTGTGTTTGTATGCATACAGGCCTATGATCGAGAACGGAAAAAATCCCCAAAAGTACATCAGATACAGTACCGAGGATCTAGAACGCATGTTGAATGAATTCTTCGAGGGTAAGCAGTGGAACGATCAAAGGCGATATAATTGATTTTGAAATTTCTTAATAATTCCCCTGAGATTTTGTTTATTCTGTATGCAAAGCTAAGCTTATGTAATGTGCCAAGTGATATATCCCTTTCCCTGCATGAGTTTTATATTTAAAATTAAAAACTGTTGTTCATTAATTATCCCTGTAACATTATTGAATCAAACTTTAAAAAAAAAAAAAAAAAAAAAATAACTATTAATGTGTAACGATTGATCAAAGAGGAGTTACATTTGGCTTGAATAAAATGTAAATTAATCCAATGTCTTAATGTCAATTATTCTAATTTCCTAAAGTCTGTCAAAATATTTGTGGAATATTATTAGTCATATTATTGCTCTAAAAATAAGCTCTATTTATCCTTCTTATATATTACTTTCTTCTTCTTTTGTTTTTATTTCCTTTTACTTGTAGAAGCGTTACCCTAATATATATTTTTTTATGAGTGAATCTCAACAGGACGAGATAATTTTATTAAAATAAAAAAATTCCTAGACGGAGGACGAAGCATCACCCCAATATGATATTAATTCGGATATATATAAGTTGTAAAACTAAATTTATACAATTTAATAAAAGAAATTTCGTTTCTGAAATGTTAAAAATTATGACTTTAATGTTTATCGCGTTCACACTTGTATATATTATTATTATCCTTATATATATACAGTATATAAAGAGGACGTGCTAACAAACGCCTAACTGCTTAATTTGACTGGCCGAGAATGACCTGTTTGACCACAATCACACCCTTATCCAGCCTTAAGAATTAGACCATTTCAGCTAATTAAGACGCCTTTTCACTTTCCTATTTTGCCTTTTCCACATTATTTGACAGAAAAAATAAAAATAATTCTTTCTTTATTTAGTCAAATAACACTTTATATTATTTATTTGTATCAACAATTATGTCCCAAAAATACATTAAATTATTTTAGAAATGTTATGTGTTTCCTCACGCGGTTTCATCTCTTCTAATTCTCTCTCTCTCTCTCTCTCTCTCTCTCTCTCTCTCTCTCTATATATATATATATATGTTTAACAATAAACACTAATCGTTCATCCTGACAACACCACAAAAAATTCAAAATCAAGTTTTCATCATCTCCATTTCTCTCTTTCTCTCAATTAATCTCTCTTGGATTTCTCTTTCAAGAAGATTAATTCATCCATCCATATGGCGGCCGCGTCTTCTTCAACTGAGTTCCATTACAAAAACATGCCATATACGGTGTTGGTACCAGAGAATCATGGGTCGTCAGGAGAATCTACAAGTGCAAGAACAAATAATATTCTTCAGGTTGTCACAACCTTAATTTCGATTATGATTTTTAGTTGTACTTTGATTATGGTAATGACGTCCTCTCTTGGTCCGAAACCGCCCCTTGTTCAAATAAACTCCCTAACTCTTTCAAATTTTACTGTATCAAATACAAAGTTAGCTGCCCAATGGGTGGCTAATATCTCTGTGTACAACCCTAATGTCGCCTTGGAACTCTTATTGGAACGTATCGAGAGCATGATATTTTATAAAGAAAACGACGCATTAGCAATTACATCAGTTGATGGATTCGACTTGGAGGTGAAGGAAGGAAAAAATTTGAAAATGAAATTTGCAACAAGTGGGTACGAGGGCGATCAACCGATCGTAGAGTATCCGGTCTTGAGAGACATTGAAGATGCTAAAAAGAATGGAATGGTGCGTTTTAGCATGAGATTGAGCATCTGGACAACGTATAAAGCTAAGTATTGTCTCACTTGGAGAAGACGATTTCTTGTGAATCCTTATTGTTTAGGGTTAAATGTTAGGGTTTTAGCAGGAAATGGTAGCTTGACTAATAATATTGGAGGAGAAAACAGTTTTTGTGATGTTGTTGTAAGGCTCTCTGATTCATGAATTTCATGAAATACAATTTTTTTAACTCTTAATTTTCATATTATTATTAGACTTTCTTCTTTGTTCTGGATTCAGGTTATATTATATTTCTTAAAAATAGAAATTAGGTATTATTCATTTCTGAAGGCTTGAATTTTCAGAAAAAATTATCTTAGAATATTAAAATTTTTTAAAGCTTCTAATAAATTGGTGACTGAATTTCAAAATATATAAACCACTAAAATCTTTCTTTATTCAGAATATTATACCACGAGTGTAGTGAAATTTAATTACTTTAAATGAAAATGATTTAGTTTTAATTAAATGGAATTAACTTAATTGGGTATAACACGAGGAATGACTTTTATGAGGTGGACTTTTCAAAAGATTAGTCTCCATTGAAAAGTTTTGTCAATAATTAAACACACTTTGATTNATATAACAATAAACACTAATCGTTCATCCTGACAACACCACAAAAAATTCAAAATCAAGTTTTCATCATCTCCATTTCTCTCTTTCTCTCAATTAATCTCTCTTGGATTTCTCTTTTAAGAAGATTAATTCATCCATCCATATGGCGGCCGCGTCTTCTTCAAATGAGTTCCATTACAAAAACATGCCATATACGGTGTTGGTACCAGAGAATTATGGGTCGTCAGGAGAATCTACAAGCGCAAGAACAAATAATATTCTTCAGGTTGTCACAACCTTAATTTCGATTATGATTTTTAGTTGTACTTTGATTATGGTAATGACGTCCTCTCTTGGTCCGAAACCGCCCCTTGTTCAAATAAACTCCCTAACTCTTTCAAATTTTACTGTATCAAATACAAAGTTAGCTGCCCAATGGGTGGCTAATATCTCTGTGTACAACCCTAATGTCGCCTTGGAACTCTCATTGGAACGTATCGAGAGCATGATATTTTATAAAGAAAACGACGCATTAGCAATTACATCAGTTGATGGATTCGACTTGGAGGTGAAGGAAGGAAAAAATTTGAAAATGAAATTTGCAACAAGTGGGTACGAGGGCGATCAACCGATCGTAGAGTATCCGGTCTTGAGAGACATTGAAGATGCTAAAAAGAATGGAATGGTGCGTTTTAGCATGAGATTGAGCATCTGGACAACGTATAAAGCTAAGTATTGTCTCACTTGGAGAAGACGATTTCTTGTGAATCCTTATTGTTTAGGGTTAAATGTTAGGGTTTTAGCAGGAAATGGTAGCTTGACTAATAATATTGGAGGAGAAAACAGTTTTTGTGATGTTGTTGTAAGGCTCTCTGATTCATGAATTTCATGAAATACAATTTTTTTAACTCTTAATTTTCATATTATTATTAGACTTTCTTCTTTGTTCTGGATTCAGGTTATATTATATTTCTTAAAAATAGAAATTAGGTATTATTCATTTCTGAAGGCTTGAATTTTCAGAAAAAATTATCTTAGAATATTAAAATTTTTTAAAGCTTCTAATAAATTGGTGACTGAATTTCAAAATATATAAACCACTAAAATCTTTCTTTATTCAGAATATTATACTACGAGTGTAGTGAAATTTAATTACTTTAAATGAAAATGAATTAGTTTTAATTAAATGGAATTAACTTAATTGGGTATAACACGAGGAATGACTTTTATGAGGTGGACTTTTCAAAAGATTAGTCTCCATTGAAAAGTTTTGTCAATAATTAAACACACTTTGATTATGATTTCATACATGTAATAGGGAAAGTTGTTAATAGAAATTCCTTATAAAACATTGAAAAGTTTTGTCAATAATTAAACACACTTTGATTTTGAGTTCATACATGTAATATGGAAAGTTGTTAATAGAAATTCCTTATAAAACATTGAAAAGTTTTGTCAATAATTAAACGTACACTTGATTTTGAGTTCATACATGTAATATGGAAAGTGCTTATTAATATAAACATTGTATGTAACCTATATAAGTTTATCTCTATGATAATATTCATGAGTCTTGGAATTTTAAGGGTTTTATACTTTTATTCATGAATAAAGTGCATGTATATATATATAGTAGAACCTCTTTATAGTAATAATGTTGAAGCCAATTAAATTTATTACTATAGGAGATTATAATTTAATAGAGGTGTGGTTACAAGAATTTCTATTTTGATTTCGTATTTTATAATTCATGTTTTAGTAGTATTACGATTTCAATTAATTGTTTCAATAGCATTAGGATAGCATGTAAATAGATATCAAGAGTCACTGTAAAATTGAGTGATCAGATTCGACAACTTCACTACAATAATCAAATGGATATTGATGTGTTCCTTAATAATTCAAATGAGCAACTAGTCGTGTATATTTTAATTGAAAAAGAAATCATTACTGAAATTAGACAAGAAGAGGAAGGAGATAATCTTGAGGATGATAGTACGAAAATACCAAAAAATTTATGTCAAGAAGCTCTAAACATGCTTGAGAGCTAAAAATATTTTGGCTTCAACAAGAAGGTGTCTATGGTGATGGCTTATTATGTACCTACAAGATAAAAGATACAGTAACAACTTTAAAGCATAAATCATTGTCCCAAACAATTTTAAATAAATATTTTATTTCATCTTAAACTTTTAATGTAATATAGCATATATTTTTTGAAATATGCATATAATTATTACTATATAGAGTAAGTTCCTTAAGACGGGACCTAGAAAAATTATAACTTATTATAATGTGAAGTTTATTATTATTTATATCTGGCCCAAGTTGGGATCGGAAGTTTTTATGACTACATGAAAGTTATTTCTATATAGAGTATCGCTATAGAGAGGTTCTACTGTATGTATATATGTATATATGTATATATCATATGAATGATGTATATAAGTGTTTGATTCATGAATCAAGTGCATATTCATGTATTTACAATATCAATAATGCTAGATAAAGAAATAAATTTTACAAATATTTCTATACAAGGTGATGTTGCAGAAAATAAATGGAAGAGTGAATACAAACTTCCATTCATTTCTGTCACATCACTTTATATAAAAAACTTTATAAGAATTTTATGTACATATAATATTACTCTTGACAGTATATATTGTAAATCATCATAATATGTACATTGTTAGAATACAAATAGTTCTACAAGTGTCTTTTCACCTAGCCGGCGCAAGTTTTATCCAGATAATAATTACATTTGATCAGCTGTTAAAACACTTAAGGGTGCATTTGGTGTAGGAAATGTTGTATTAGTGAGAATGTTATATTAAGGGGGACATAAATTATCTAGAGATTACTGAGAATTTTATATTAAATGTGTTTGGTTAGATTTAAATAAATTGGTAGATATGTTATATATATTACTGAATTGTCTTTTTTTTTTTAATATTATTATTTAGATTATTTTTAACCCCCTATATTTGAGAATTTAGTTAAAACACGCCCTTAATAAAAGTTAAAAAATTAACAAAAATACCCCAGCCACCCAAGCCACTGCCAGATTCCGGCGGTGGTGGTCGAAACGAAGCACGACCAATTGGATATGATTGACCATACGCTGATCTGGCCGTTAACAACCAGATCGGTGCACAATCGGCCACATCCGGTCGGTCGTGCGCCGTTCCAACACCAATGGCCGGCGATGGTGGCCAGTTTCGGCCACTATTCTTGGGTAATTGTTTTCAAGTTCAAGGGTATTTATGTCCTAAAAATTGTGTATATAAGGATAAAATAGTCCATGAATATTTTTGTAAATTGTTTCAAAGCAAGGGCATTATTGTCCAAAATTTTTAATAGTTAAGGGTAAAATTGTAACAAAATTAATATTACCAATTAATTTTAAAATACCTAAGAAAATTGTGATATTTAAATTACCATTAATATAATCAACAGTAATTACTATTGATTTTGAAAGATTACCGAAATCTTATATTATTTGACAATCAAATATACTAAAGTAAGTAATATAAGATAATATTATCCCAGTAATCTCATAACCTAAGAATTATGTAAAAAAATTTAGGGGGTGTTTGTCTGAACTTATGAAAATTAGCTTATAAGTATTTGAAATTTTAAGAAATTACGTGTTTGGTTAAAGTACTTATAAGTGACTGATAAGTAGTTGACGTATTTGGTAAAATGTCGCTTATAAGTACATTTTATTATAAAATGACTAAAAAAGGTACTACATTAAATAAGGGTATACTATGGAATTTTAAAATTAAACAAGAATAATGTGGTAATATACTTGGTCAAACTAACTTTTAAGCAGAGTGCTTATAAGCAAAAAAAAAAAAGTACCTCCCCCCAACTTATTTTTTTTTTCTTATAAACTCAAAAAATCTATAAACAAACATGTCAGCTTAATTTTAGAACTTATAAACTAGTTTGATCGACTTATAAGTTTAGATAAACAACCCTTAGTGTATAAGACGCGGTAAACCATCTTTGTAGATACATGCCTCCACTTTTTAATCTTTATTACTCATCCTTAAGCAAATTCTTTATTACTTGCCTTTAATATAAAAGTCTGCTACTTATGATCTTCCTCGTTTTAGTAAACCACAAAAGGCAACTGAATCACATATCAGCCCCCCTCAATATCACTCAATGGTTGACCTCCTTTTAGCATTTTTTTTATTACCTTACCCACCCACCATAACATATCATTTTTCATAGATATTGTAATTATATACGATTATCTATAGAGATATGTATATAGTCAATCTTCAATATTAATGTCTTGAAAGTTTTAATGTGTCAATCAAACGTGAGGTGAGTGACTACTCATTACTTTCATAAAATGTAAAATCCAAAATCAACAACCAGTTAAAAACTTATAATTTTTTAGTGCTTTCTTTTAATAGAAAAAATTCTGACTAGTTTTTTTTATTTTAATAGTATTAGATGAAACCGTTAATTATTGACCGTAAACAAGGTCTGCATTACGAAAAGCAATGTAAAATAATTCAATTATATTTTTTATATTTTTTTTCGTTTCAATTTTGACTTAAAATTATTATGTGAATAAAGAGGAGTGAAAAGCCATATATACACATATAACTCTCTCTTTTTACCATTTTGTTCTGATTTGGCTTTCTCATCTCATACTTTCTCTCCTCTCTCTCATTTTTCTCATCTCATACTTTCTCTCCTCTCTCTCATTCTTTCTTGACGAATTCTCCGAGAGAGAGGGAGAACGTACACCAAATCATGGAAGAATCGGGAGAAACAAATGGTCAATCCTCCACCACAAACCATCATAAACACCCACTTCCACCGCCACCGCCCTTCTACGCTGCTTCCACCGCTCCCACATGCATTCCGCCCGTTGTACCTCCCGATCCAAATCCGGCAACAGGTTACCCACCAGCCATAGGTTACCCACCTGCAATGGGCTATCCTCCATATAATCCACCAGGCTTCCCTGACCCTAGCCCTGACCCTAATTCTTCATACGACCAATATCACCCTCATCAACAACAACATTTTATGCCACCACCACCGACAGTGCCACCGGATACGTGTTACACGCCGCCTTACCGTCGTCAAGACAAAGGCGGGTTCCCCAAAGGGATGTCGTCAGGAATGATTTTGTTAATTATTTTTGTTTGCTTGGGTGGTTTGATTTTGTGGATTGTCGTACGTCCAAAGTTTCCAATTTTTCATATCGATTCGTTTTACGTAAAAAACTTCAACGTATCATCTAATAATAACTTTTCATCTTCGTGGGAAGGAAATTTAACGATCGAAAACAAACGTTGGGGAACAAAACTTATTTTTGATCGTATGCAAAATTCTATTTTCCTCAACGACGATGATTTTCTTGCGTCGTCTATTTCCGAGGGTGGTCAAAATAACCCTTTGTTAGTAGTTGGTTCAAATGAAAAGAAGACGATTAGGGTGAAGGTGTCTACGGCGGATAGTAAACAACAGGGGGAGAAGCCTCCGGATAAGAAGGTGGTGGCGGAGATGAGGAACAAAAAGAAAGGTGGGTTAACGTTTGTTTTGAAAATTTATGTATGGTGGGAAGTTGATTCGGGATTATTCCTTAAACGTTCAAGACCTGTGCAGACGAGAATGTTGTGTACGGATTTGAAGGTTAATTTTGAAGGCAATTCAGGTAATGGAAAGATGAAAGGAAATCCTGATGACTGCAACGTTGATTTGTGACTCTTTTTATTTTTATTTTTTCTTTTAGATTTTTCTTCTTCTTGTGGTCTTGATCTTCTTCAATCTTAATTAAAGCAACTGTGATTAATTGAGCTGTTAATATTAGAGAAATCTCATACTCATACATTGTTTGTAAAGTTGCCGAAAATTAATGTATTGGGAAATCAATCTTTTATCACTTCTTTATTGTTCTTTTATCAATTCAGGTAATGGAAAGATGAAAGAAAATAATGTTGTGACTTAATTGATTAAAATTAGGGGTATATTTGACCATTTTAATTACTATTATTTTAATTTTTCCCTTCTATTATATTACAAAACTCATAATTATTTCAACATAAGTTTCTAACCATTGTTTAAATATTAGGTCACGGGTGTAGCTAGAAACTCATTTAAAGGGTCAAGATGTATGCTAAACTTAAGAATACTATTAGGGGCCGTTTGGATCGGAGGTATATAAGATAACAGGGGTAATCTTCATTTATTTTGCAAGATTCCGGTGTTTGATTTGCTAGTAATAAAATATTGTGGTAATTGCAAATAATGTTTACAGTTGGTAATGTAGGGGATAATCTTATTACCTTATTAGGGGGTGTTACTAAAACATTACCGGGGTATTCTAATTTTTCTACCCATTTTCCCCTTAATTAAAAACCAATTCGGACACAATTGCCTTCAAATGTCTACCAAATAATAATTACCCCTCCCCCCCCCCCAACACTTGAGAAATTAGCTAAAACACCCTAACCACAAAAAAGTTTAAAAGTTAACAAAATACCCCTAGCCATCCAAGACCACCGTTGGTCGTGACTCACCACCGCCAGCCGCCGGAGTTAGTTATCGTAATGGTGCACGACTGGCGAGATTTGGTAAGTCATGCGCCGGTAAGGCTTTTTTCGACCACAGACCTGTGGTCCATGGCTGGAAATGGCCATATCTGGTGTTTCTATGGTTGTTTTATGGCCAAAGATGTGGCTGTGAAATGGCCATAGATTTGGCTGTGAAATGGCTATAGATCTAGCCATTTTCTGGCCATGGATTTGTGATCCATGGCTATTTCCTGCTTTGCCAGTGCACGACAAGCCATATACGGCCAGTCATGCGCCATTCCGTCGACTGCTGACGGTAGTCAACAGTGGCTTGGGGTGGGTGTGGGTGATTTTGCTACAAATTAAAGTTTTATATGGCTGAGGTGTTTTAGCAAAATTTCAAATGTAGGAGGTTAAAAGAAATGATTAAAAAAAATAGTAAAAATAATAATAAAAAATACTATTATATTAATATTTAAAAAGGAGGACAATTTAGTAATCTATATAACATACTCACTCATTTATCCTCTCAACCAAACATATTATTCACCAATTTATTCAAACCAACCAAGCACATTTTCTAAACATTCCTAGTAATCTTCAAGGTGATATTTCTTTCAATTCATATAATACACCCCTATGAAACATTGTATGATTCAAACGCCCCCTTATAAATAAAATTATAACATGAGTATATTCATTATAATTAATATTTTTTCAATTGTGCTCAACAATACAAATACAAGCACCCCCAAATTAAACTAGAATAGAGATTTTATAAATAAATATATTTTAAGTTTTTTGCGAGTAAAATATCATAACATGCGTTTAGTTCCGATAATGTTTTATTATCAAAATGATAGTATGTATTACTAGTGAGATATATAACCTTGAAGATTAATGGGTATAATTTATTATTGTGTTTGGTTTGAGTGAGCTGTATAAATAATTAATGTATTTGGTTGGCAATAATTACTGTTGTGTGTGATTTTTCCACCAAGCTCGAAGTATTGCGAGGTTATAGCCCGATTCAAGACCAGCTTGACTAGAGGTGTAAACGAGTCAAGTCGAGTCGAGTATCACCCTAAACGAGCCTGACTCGGTTAAGCATTAGATGAGTTCGAGTCGAGTCACGAGTCGACCAAGTCAAGAAAATTCGGCTCGTGACTCGACTCGAACTCGTTTGACTTGACTCAGAAAGCTCGATTATGACTTGTTTAACATGAGCTTGAATTGGCTCGATTATGACTTGTTTAACGTGAGCTTGAATTGGCTAGATTATGGCTCGTTTGGCCCTTTTTTAATATAACCTGTAGATCTTGTTTTACACAAATGAGATCCAATTTTTGATAAATTTGCATCTAAATCAACACAAATCAGTTCCAAATCAACATAAACAATGTATTACACAACAAATTATACAATCTACGACAAAAAAAAAAAAAAAAAAAAAAAACACAAATTTCCATCAGAATACATCAAAATTATCATCAAAACAGCATAGACTCAAACTTCTGGAAGTTGAATCTCCAATGGTTCCTTCTGTATCTAAAATTTAAAATAGAAAAAAAGTTAATATCAAACGGCAAAAAAAAAAAAAAAAAAAAAAAAAAAAAAAACCAGCAGTAAAAACAAGGGCAGCAACAAATTAGCCTAACCAACACAAACAGCAAAAGCAAAGGCAGCAAAAATCCCAGCCAACACAAACAAGGGCATCAAAAAATCAGCCCAGCCAACACAAACAACAAAAGCAAAAATCTTATGCAAAGGGATTCGAACCTTTCAAAGCCAATTACATATAAATAATTGTGATTTCATCAATGTAAGTCAACTTAGAATATAACATTGTTCACACAATTAAACCATGAAGCTAAGTAGCTAACCGCAAACACAGCAAGATGATAAATGCACAAAGCTCATGCAAAAAACCGAAAATTTCTAGCAAGAATTATCTCAAATGCAGTCATACTTGATATTCAAAAACAAAATATTTTAAGAATATCATAAGAAATCTCCAGAACCAACACTAAAGAAGCAATAATTCATGAGGCTCATACAGAAACCCAACTACAAACAACTAAACACAACTACAACAATCCAAAATAGAAACCTAACTACAAACAACTAAAGGCAACAAATTTACAGAACAAAAACTAAAAACAAAGAAATGCCCAGCGCAAACTTGCTCATATAGCTTAAAAAATCCAGATTTTGTGAAGGAACAAATCTGTTGTAGTCGAGATACGCTAGTTAACAAACTCCTCACAAATTCTTCGCAAAAATGGTGTCGTCGACGATGGACAAGGCGACGAGAAGCGGTGGTTATTGGTGATTGGGTAGTTCTTGTGTTTGTGGGTGCGTGGTGTGATTTTGGGGACATTGTTTTTGGGGAAATCGGGTTTCTTGATTAGAAATGTGAAAATAGGGTTCTTGATTTTGGGGAATGCATTTACGTGATTTGGGTTAATTTTGTGAATTTTTAAACCTTTTAGTCTTTTACATGTCAAATTACAAAACAAACCTAAAACTTGTATTATGCACAGAAAAACCCTAAACGAGCCACTATTGGCTCGTGAGCCGAATCAAGCCGAGTCGGGGTAGACTCGAACTCGGCTCGATACCTCACTCGAGTCGAATTCGAGCCAACTCGGCCCGATTAAACTTGAGCTGAGTTCGAGTATTTAACGAGCCAAGCCGAGCCGACTTGCAAGCGGCTCGACTCAGCTCGGCTGACACCCCTAAGCTCGACTCTATTAATTGTCCGACCCAGCATAAGCTCGTTGAGTTATAGCTTGACCTAGCACAAGCTAGTCGCGGCCAATCTTCACAATTGTTCAACCAATTCATGGATAACTTCAGATCCCGGATATCTCGGGAAGGATAAGATCAACAACAATCTTTGTGCAATCACAGTGCCCAATCGTAAGAATATCAGAGTTGCATTTCAAACATAATTGTAATCAATTTATTTCTTCTCTTTCCCTTGTATTAACTCTGTATATAAACCCCCTCCAATGATGAGAAAGGGGTTAGCAAATTATTCTAGGATTGTCATTGTAAGTTGTCATAGCAAATACAATAACAGTGGACGTAGGCTCAAGAGTTCAACTCGTCGAACCACTTTAAAAATCTCTTTGCCATTTACTTTACTGTATAGATTATTTATTCATTGCTAGTTATCCGTAATTACGCACACATCAGTTCCAATCCTGACTAGGTCAATTGGATCACTCTAGTTGGTGTAATTCTTGCATCAACATTTTAGCGCGCTAGAGGAAGGGCCCTCCGCCAAAATCCCAGAAATTCCGACAAGCAATCCCAGTAACCTGATCACTCCAAGTCCATAATAGTGCGTACAAGATCGAAAACCACAACAATGTGGAGACCACCCACCGGGAGGTGCAACAGGACACCGCTAGGCGTTGACCACTAGTGTCGCCGACTCAACGAACCACAAATAACTAGGGAGCAAGGACGTCAAACCCCGAGAATGGCCAATTGGTGGAAATGATCAGAACAATGGTTGCACAGGTCGTGCAATAGAACGTGGTTGAGTTAAGGAATCAACAACCAACCACACAAAACCTTGACCAACCACACTTCACCAATATCACCCTAACAAGTTAGAATTCAACCGGTGACCAGTCTGGCTCATCGGCACCAAGGGGAGATCGGCACCCTTGACATCACAGAGCACACTCCGCTAATGAGCACGAGTCCCACGGGTAAACTAACCTAGGGAGACGACCAAGAAACATCCAATAAGGGAAAGCGAAGGAAATGGTCACCCACAAGACGCTCGACCTGCTCGGCAATATCCCCAGCATCAACGTGTCAGTTTTAACCCATGTCCAAGACAAGCTCGATCCTTGCAAGCTCACGAGACGAGTCATGTTCACCAATCTAGCCATGACCGATGTTATGGTTATAACCAACATTGTGAGCAACGCACCGACGAGTATGATAGCATCCACCAGCCTAGCCATCATGACTCAACTTCGCGCATCAATGAGCATAACGGAGGGGGCTCACAAGCAACAGATTTAAGAACTCACCTGCTTGAGGTAAGGCTGAACAAAGCTAGTCGGGGGAATCACAACGAAGACTTAGATCGAGTGCAGAAAATGTTTAACGATCTAAGAGCTCGCCTAAACAATGCAGCGGAAGAAATAGTAAGCTCTCCATTCACAG